GGTCTCTAAAGAAGTCAGAACTGGAAATAATGAACTGAAATAGTGAACACAGAATTTAGTACTTACTGAGCTGTAGATGCACTTAAGACTCTATTTATGTAGACATCAGACCAAGATCACTGGGTGAAACCTATACTTCTTTCCACCTATTGCTTCCCCTTTACATTTACGTCTCTTTGCATAAAAAGATCACCAAAGCAATAACTCAACAAAACAGATGTTTCCTACAAACACTTTTCTTTATTCTAAACAAATGTCAGTCCTTAACTGGCTGAAGTGAAATAATTCAGTGAAGAACTGGAAGGGAATTACAGCAACTGACCAGCTGAGAATTTACCACTGAGAAATTATTCTTGCAAAACTCTTTCTAGAATAAAATAGAATTACAAAATTTATTTTAAGATTGGTATTAAACCACCATTCTGGAAGAAGGCCTAGACATACTAAAATCAAGTACAAAATCCACAACAGTTTACAAGGACAGCTGGCTGCACCAATAATTTTAGGATTAGGCTACAGTCATGTTTCTGTCACTTCCTTAAGGTTTCAATAAAATGATACACAGACAGTTTTAATTTCTACAGACTGGTGAGTCATAACTCTCAGTATTTAAAACTGAAAATATTTTTAAAAAGAAAAACATTATTATAGTCACATAATCATTAAGGTGGGGAACGACCTTTTGAGATCACTTCAGCCTACCAGTGTTACCTACAAGCTCTGCTTTAGATTACTTTTTCCTTACTTTTTTCTTTTTTTGGTCACAAGTTTCTCTTCTGCAATACAGGCTAATTTTAGCTCTGGCTCCAGTCTACACTTAATCTTAATTGCCTGTTAGCTCCAGCTGGGTGTCTCCAGAACATCAAGAGATACCTGTGTTTATTTATTTGCATTAAGTTACCTTGATTGTGAATAGTAGCTTGAAAATTCTGTGTGCCAAATTACAAACTGGGGGTACAGGAAGAAATAATAGAAAACGAGTTTTTTATATAAATTCTAACTTCTCCTTCACTAAAGCTGAGCTGAGAACTGCTACGTGAACATAAGGGTTTTGACTGAAAAGTAATGTCTTAGGTTACAATGTAAGATGTTACCAAAAGTATGCATTCCTTTATGGTCTGCTAGAACCAGGTGGGGCAGTGCTCTTTATTTTTTTCATGACCTATGCTCCCTCCAGGGGAATATCTTCTATTAATAAGACACTGAGTCTCACTCCATGACTGATAAAAATTACATCATCCCATAGTGAGATGTTCTGCCCAGGGAGAGGAGCCAAGCATTCCTATCTGGATATAATCTGAGTTTGGAACACCTCGTGCAGCCTTTTTCCACTGGATTCCCAGAGGAAGACAAAACCCTTCTACATCACCACTGGACCTTCAGAGAAAAACCACACCCTTCTACAGCATCACTGTTTCAACAGAACCACATCACTCCAAGAGGACTGCAGCCACCATTTAATAGGACTGCTACCAACACCCAGACCAACAGCATGTCAGGCTGTATTCTGACTCTCTCAGTGTTTTTGTACTTTGTACTAATAAAATGCATTTATTTTAATTTTCTTATTAAATTGTAATTCTGACTTGGAATCTCTCACTGGTTTGCTTTCAAACTAGTACAAGTTAAAAAAAACAAAAAAAAAACTATAAAGAATACAGAACATGTAAAGAAAAATGGTTTTGAAATCATTTGGTTTGACATTGCAAAGAGTTGAATTTTCCTTTCACCTCACTAAAGCAATGCTCGTAGACAGGGACACAACACTCGTACATACAATTCTCAACAAGCACACTCTGGCTGCTGCTCAAAGTCTTCTTCACAAAGCTTGCAAAGAAATCAATAATGCTATATTCGGATCTTGAGGGAATCCTTCTTGCACTGCTCAATCAGAAACTTCAACGATTTCTATCACATAGCCTATTTCATTACCACAGTGTTGTCCCCTAAAATACTAGAAAGGATTAATGTCTTGAACATATAACACCTGGTTCCTTAAACATACGTTGATTTTTGTTTCCTGCTATGGAAAGGCAGGAAAGGTTTTGAACAGCCTAAAGATTGAATGTTTCCCTTTTGTCAGATCTGCAGCAGCTCTGGTCCAATCAAATTGCTACTCCTAAAAAGTGGCTGTGGCCTGTGGCTTGTTTTTGTTTTCTTTTTTAACAGAGGTATTCAAATAACTTTCACAAAGACCATTTTTTATGTAAAGAGTTTAGTATGCATTCCTTCACATACTTCTCCCCTTGCTTCCCCTTGCTCCCCTTCCCCACACAATAACACCATGCTGTACAAACAAACCCCATCCCCATCCTAGAGCTGGCAGAGAAACTGCGCCAGTTTCCATTTGCCCTTGTTACCAAATATATATATAATTTTTTAAGACTTGAAGGATTTCTCTCTCAGTGATGCTGCATCCATAACACTGGTGAAAAAACACCCTTCCTCCTCCAAAAGCTAAGCAAGAAGCCAAAACCCAGAACAGGAAATGAGTGCCATGGCTTCTAGGCAATTCAACCAGATGACAGGATGGCAACAAATTCTGGGAAGCTGATGAACCATAAGACCTGTTGAGGCAGTTAAATATATCCACTTGATCAACACTTCATCCTTGCAATGTCACATCTAAACTAGTTCTTTCCACTTACAAAAAGAGTTGAACACAGATTGGCATGATAGGCAGAAATCAGATACCTAGTCAGAATAGACCCATTTCTAAAATTCAGTAGCCATTATATTACAGTTTTGTCTTCCCAAATGCACACACATCTAACTTCCATTATACTTTGATTTCATTTCAGTCTCATGTCTTTTAAGACCAGGACTTCTGCTTTTATGCAGGGAAAATCTGAAGTGCAATTTTCAGTTTCAAATATTTTTGGCTCAGAGCCCAGTCTTTGTTGCTGAGGTGAAACAGTCTGTTATAGAAAATGAAAACAGAAATAGACTAGAAGAAGAGACCTTTACCAACAGCTACTGTTGGCTTCCCTTTGAAGTGATCTTGATTGTTGTAGCACATTTCATCTCTTCACCTTCTACTTTGTTCATTACATTATTTAGACACAGCAGGATTATGTACACACTACTGCAAGAACAGAAGTGAATTTCATATATTTCATCTTACAAATCTATTGTCCTCAGCAAATTCAGGCTAGAAAAAAACCAATGTTCTCAAGATTCCAACTATGTATTACTTGTCTGCTGGTGGAGATCATTGACTATCTTTGGATCTAATTCTCTTTTTCTGCTGAAAGCCACTGGTTTTACCGTTACTTTCTTTCTCTACATTAAGCCCAGGCCTATTTCTAATACATCTTTTTGAGGATGAAGCAGCATGACTTCTACATTTTGCTGATATGCTCACCTTCTCAATTTCACAAATGCTGGAACACCATTTCTAGTGAATTATTAGCGTAGGATTGTTTTTAAAACTTCACAATTAATCAAAACGAGATTTGACTAAGAGCTTAACTCTTAACAGACTCAATCTCCCTTTCAGGAGGCATTATTGAAAGAGGTGAACAGAACTAGCCGCCCCAGGTCTGTGTATGCATTCAGATGAATACTTATCATTAACATCATAACATAAAGACAATTACGCTTTCAAATCCTGTTAATATATCCTCCCCTCTTTTCCAGAGAATTAATAGGAAAATTTCCCAGTTATCACTGAGTACTGCCTAGAAAGAATGTTGCTGTATTATTTTATTTTAATTATTTCTGCATAGTCCTTGCATATCTTCACTCCCTATACTGACTGACTGATTTCACAACAATCCTTATCACTTCAAGGGAAGGAAATCTCCTATGCTGTAAATTACTGAGCAAACACTGCATCACAGCCTAGGAATTTACATAACCTACTAATTATTTCTGGAACTGTAAATTAATTGCTGTAAAGGACTTGAATATTGCTGTAGCAGCTTGTTCCCCTCCCTGCCCTCCCCTTGCCTTGAAATAAAACCCATCTGCCTCAAACTGCTGGAACAACAAGAAAAGATGTTTCCTTGCCTTTTAGGAAATGCTCTCCAGGTGTGAATTCAACAACTGGCTAGATCTGATTCAGCCCAGATCACCTCACATACTGCAGTGGGAGACACAGAATGGCACTGATCTGATTTTCATCTGTTATTGATTTTAGACAGACATTGCTATCATGGCAACTTTTATGAAAATCTTTTTGACATTCTTAGATTAATTCTTGACCTTGAACTATTTAAGCTATTTAATGTTAAGGGTAGAAAATTAGCAAAATAATTTTTGACATCTCCCACAATCCTTAACAAGCTGATAGTTAACTACATGCACAGGACTATTAACACAGCTTATAAGCTTTAGATAGCCCAGTTCAGCAACTGGTTTTGTATCCATTATTGCGAAATCTACTCAAACTGCATACACATCAACAAACATGCCACAAGTCATTAAAGGCATATTAGGCCACATCAGTTTGTTCACCCCACACATGAGAAGCAGGGAACACTTGTATTCAGCCTCTAAAATTAGAAAGGTAAATCAACATTATCTGCACAATGAGTAATTTGTTTCTCCAACACCTTCACAAAATACAAACAAACCCCTAGAAGGCACTTGCTTGAAAAAGCTGCACGTAAATTACATAGCTGGTTTTGCATTAATCTTGTTTTCATTGGATTTGCTGCAAATTTTAGCACTGCTGTCAGTGAAAACAGCACCTTCTGTTCTTGAAGCAAGGATCAGGTGAAGGCAAGTGATGAGAAAGCCTTAATTACACTTTCAACTGGAGATTCAGACATTAGCTATAGCTACAATTTCACCTTTTCATCTGTCTTGGTTTTGTTTTCATATAGATTTCAATTCAACTGATTAAAAAGAAAAGTTTTAAAATATTTATACCATTCTCGGCATTTCTACTTTGCTAGGCACTTTTGGTCCACAAACTGACTATGGGGGGGGAAAAAATACTGTTTTGCAAGTACATCACAAAAGCAAACTGTCAGGTGACCCTGCACAAGCCTTACCTGCATCATAGTGACCACATGGCAGGGATTCAGGAGGTAAATGACAGTTCTGGTGGCAAATTTGAATCCCAGCTCCAGCCCAAAGATGAGACAGAGCAGCACCAGCAGAAGGTTTTTGCCCAGGCTCTCCTGCTTAGTCTGGCGCTGCTGCAGCAGATTCTCCAGCTCCTGGACATGCTGCTGCCTGAGCTTCCACAGGGACACGAGGATCTCCATGGCGCCCACACTGAGGAAGACCAAACTCTCCAGCAAGCGCTGCTGGCCGGAGAGAAAGGCGGCGCATTCCGGCCCTCCATTGCCGGCAAAGCTGGGGTCCACCCCTCCATACACCCAGTCCAAAAGGTTGTGGAGGCTGTATCGAGGCATAGCGGGACGGTACCTCTTCTCCAGGAACAAGACGGGAGGAGCAAGACGGAATCAAAGCCAAAATATTTCCGGACAGACGAAGCACGAAACACCAAGACGCTCCCGCTGCAGCCCTTCCTTGGCAGGCTCCGGGAGAAGTGGCAGCTCTGCCTGGGGCACGGGCAGTTCTTCCCTTCCGCTGCCCGGAGGAGTCCCGCACGCAGCAGCCTGAGGGGAGATAGAGGCCACAGCTGCGGAGCTGGTCTAGTCCCAGGTCCAGACGCCCCAGCCCAGGATCCCACCTCTTCCCGCCCGGCTCTGCCACCCACTGCTTGCCCTTTCCTCCCCGCCTGGGCTGCTCTTACCCGCGGCCAGCGCCGTACCCAGCCCCCTCAGCCCGCCCCTCTGTCCCTCCGCAGCCCCCCACCTGCGCATCCCCTGCATCCCCGGGCGCGGGCTTGGTACCTCCGCGGGCGGGCGGGTGTCAAGGAGCGGCAGGCCCGGCGCCCCCGGCCATGGCGCCGGCCCTGGCGAGGGACGGGAAAGAGGAAGCACCACTACGCTCAGCGGCAGCACCGGCACAGCCGAGACTCCGGGCCCGAGCGGGCGGGCCGCTCCCCGGGGTTGGCCCAGCCCTTGGCCGCCGCCGCAGCATCACCCCACCGACGTGCCTGACTCACGCCGAAAAATGGACGAGTCCCCCGAATTGGCTGCGCCCGGCAGCCCGCTCCTCCCTCTTTCGCGGCTGCGCCCGCCTCCCTCCGCTCCCCGCAGCCTCTCTTCGCCGCCGCGGCCGCTGCTCCGTTGGCGGGTGCGCGCTCTCTGTCCACGGCCCCTTCCCGCCTGTTGCCGCTGATTTCGCGCGGCTGCCCTCCTTCCTTCTCCTCCTCCTTATCGTAGCTGCCCGCGGTTCGACTCCCCGTGCCACCGGCCGGGAGGGGAGCAAGGACTGGGCACAACTCTGCACGCCCGTCAGCGCGATCCTGTTCGCCGACCCGATCGGCAGCGACCTTAACTAGATAAACGAGTTTTTCAAGTGTCGTTACAGCAGATATAGGTAGGTCGGCCGAGGAAGGAACAAACCCGAGCGGGGCTCCAGCTCAGCTCTGGTCTGGTCATGCCAAGGTGTGACTCCAGCCAGGTGTGCCGAGTGTCGCACACAGGTGCCTGCAGCGAGGTGTGCCCAGTGCCTTGCACAGAACGCAGACCGCAGACCGCACTTGTGTTTGTGCTTAGGCGATTTACTGCCACGTGTGCTCTGTGAGAACCAGGAGAATCCGGCTTTGGTTCCTGGTTTGTGGCACTGTGAAGAGGTTGTATTGCAAATATGTAACTGTCTGAGAGGCAAAGGTCTGTTGAGATCCAGAGAAAGTAGCAGGTTAAGTGGATGTTTTCAAGGCAATCAGAGTCATGGATATCCCCCGAGAGCTGTCTCCTACAGATTTTATTTCACATTACCTGCACGCAGCACATCGCTCTCCCCACCCTGATCATTTCAGGGCTTTCCTTCTCCACAGGATAGCACCAGCACTGGCCGAACTCTGTTGAGCCTCATTAATTGGGGGAGAAAAAAAAAAAATTAAAAAAAGCTTAGTTCCACAAATAAGTTTGAAAAGACCAGTTAGATATCAATGCTGGCTGAGTCAAAATGATTTCTATAGACAGGGACAGCAACACCTGTTCTATAAAGCTGGAGACTGTATGCCACTGCCATTCTGGTCAGTGGAAGAAATTACTCCCTTTTAGGGAAAGAAGGGGTCCCACCAGGTTTTTCCAAAATCTTCAAGAACTCCTTTCCACAATTTGAGCTTAATAAGAACTCTACAAAATGCTGGTTTTTCAGTCACTGCTGGTTGATTAAAATACCTATTTGTTATAAATGCAAAGGCAAATTTAGGTTAAATAAAAGAACAGTTTATTATAAAACAATTTTTATAATAAAAATAAACAACGAGGAAAAACCACAATAAAATAAACAGCGCAGCGCTGGGTGGACAGGGGTCTATACCCAAAGGTATAGGTGTTCCCAAATCCACGCTCGAGGGTTCTCTGGCCTGGGTTTTTATAGGGATTTTGTATCCTGAGGCCAAATTCCAGGCAGGCACCATTCACCAAGGGTCCTTGATTGTTGGATGAATTGATTTCCTGGCGTTGGAGAATAGAGTCAAATAGACGTTCGGGCAGAGTCTCCTCATATGTAAAGAAGTTCTGAGTGTTCCTTGATTTCATTTTGGTTCGGGCCATCTGGATGGGGTGGTTAGATCCGGGTTGGAGCTGATGGATATCTCGGCTGGACTTTTCTCTTTGTCAGCCTGATTGCTTCCCCAACAGTGGCCTGCAAGGCGGGGTGTTCAGGTCCTGCGATGAGTATCTCGTCCAAGCTTGTTCCTTTGTCAGCCTGATGGCCCGTGTCCTGCTCATTCTTTTCCGTTGATGGGCGCCGGCTAGGATTGTTATCTCTCGAATGGGAATTCGCGACTAGATCTGGGGAAGGACTTGTTGGCCACACTGTATTTTATATTTTATATTATTATAGCTACAAATATATTTATTTAGACCTCTACGAATTTTTATTCATAAGTTCATTAATCACATATTGTTGATCTAAACCTGCAGCACAATGTTCCTGTAAATGCCTCCCCCATTAACTGGACACACACATACCTGCAGCACATGCATTGCTGCATTACCCTGCTTCACAGCCTGAATACTCAAAACAAGCAGTTCAGCACTAACACCAGTAATTGACAGTTTTCTTCTTCCTCTATTTCTAAGCTGCAGAATTACTGTTCAGAAAGATACTCTATTTCTAAAACACAGGATTACTGCTCACAAAGAAGAGTATTTTCTCTTTTGGGTCTACCGACTGGATTATCTGCTGCCATGAACAACCTGGGACAGATCTGTCCCTTTCCGCTCTGTTGAGCTGTCCTTGTTGTTGAGTTGGGGGTTGAGTGTCCTTCCTTTTTTCTTCCTTCTCACCTATGGAATTTTGTCCATTAGTTGTGGGGATACCTGATTGCTGATACTTACTGGGTGCTTGAAAAACACAAAGAGTTTGGCTGGGCCCACGGGGGAAGGAGGGCAGGTAAAAGAGAGGGCGGGGGAGCTGGGGGCTGGCTGGCTTCTTGGGCTGGAGAGCAAGACACTCTCGGAGTTGTTGCGGCTTGGAGAAGGGAGTTCTCCATCACCCAGATGGAGATGCTGCTTCTTCTTCTCCTTCTTCCTTCTTCATTGGTGGGCCTCACACCCCCTGCCCTGCTGGGACCTGTGGCAATGCCAGCCACCACCGCGGAGCTGCTGACACACCTCAGCCACGGCCCGGAATCTCTGCTCATTCCTGCTGTTCCAGCTGGGTGTTCCTCAGAGCCCTGCAGGAGCATTGAGACTGACTGCCCAAGGGGGTTTGTGAAGCAAAGCCTCTCCTCCATCCTTTCCCATCTCGGCCGAGAAGGCTGTCATGGTTCTGTTTTATTGCTAATGCTGTAGTTATTGTCGTTTGTTTGCCTTGTTATACATACTAGTAAAGAACTGTTATTCCTATCCCCAGATGTCTGCCTGAAAGCCCCTTGATTTCAAAATTATAGTAATTCAGAGGGAGGGGGTCTACAGTTTCATTTTGAGGGAGGCTCCTGCCCTCCCTAGCAGACACCTTGGTTCCAAACCAAGACACATTCCCTCAGTAACATACAAGAGGACAGCTACTGCTGCTAGAAGCAATCTCAGGCAGTTTTATACTTTGTATATATGTTTTATACCTTGTCTGTGCATTCCAGTATCAAATATAGTGATTTCTTTAGAATATGGCCTAGCCTCAAGAATAGGAGGGCTTGGTTGGGTGTTTTGGTGTTGTGTTTTTTTCAGAGACTGCCAGTTAAGAATAACTGTCTGAAAATATGAAAGCGGGCAACATTTTGCTCACAAAAAAAGAGCGTTTGTATTAAAAACGAGATTCACTTAATAAATTATAAAAAGAATTTAATATAAATAAAAAGGCAATTAGGAGACAAAAGAAATAAAGCAAAGGGTTAAAATGGCCGGGTGCCCTGGCGCCTTGCCAGGAACACACCTGGTATCGTGGGATCACTCCCTTTATCCCCTCCCGCTGCGAGGATTCTATGCATATTCAAAAACATGTCCCCTCCCTAGTTCCACCTATTTAGAACATTTTTATTTTCTGCTGGTCAGCATTATTTGAAGTTTGGTTTCCTTTCTTTTGCAAATGGTCACTTGCTGATAACCATCCGGGCCCGTCATCCTTCCCCTGAGGACAGCTGGGTTTCATATCTTCCGCTGATAACAGTTTGGCCTCTATTGTTCTCTTGATAACAGCTTGGACCCCACTGTCCTTGCCCTCTGGGGTTTCCTTGCCTTGTACCTAGGAAATTCTTTTAAGCTTAAGACTTGTTAGCAAGAAAAAAAGTACATACATAGCTAAAAAGTATTTAACATATAATATTCATCTGCGAAAGCCAATATCACAATACAAATTTATAACAA